TGAACACGCAGCCCAAAATTCAAATTTTCTGAACACGCAGCCCAGGTAGATAGTGAACACGCAGCCCACAATTTAACCGAAAGTTGAACACGCAGCCCAAAATTCAAGTTTTCTGAACACGCAGCCCAGGCAGATAGTGAACACGCAGCCCACAATTTAACTGAAAGTTAAACACGCAGCCCAAAATTCAAATTTTCTGAACACGCAGCCCAGGTAGATAGTGAACACGCAGCCCAGGTAGATATTTGCATGTAGCTTATTTCACTTCATCGGCACACAGCCCATTTCATTCCATTGGCACACAGCCCATTTCATCTGATTGGCACACAGCCCATTCATTTCATTGGCACACAGCCCATTTCATCTCATTGGCGCACAGCCCATTTCATCTCATTGGCGCACAGCCCATTTCATCTCATTGGCGCACAGCCCATTCATTTCATTATTGACACATGTATTCATTCTGAATGTAGGTTTGTTCCCGCAGTGTGCGGGGGTATGGTTCCACCATCGCGCGGGACTGGTATGCCGAGCTCCCGGAGGGCGTCAGAGACTTAGTGGACTTGGCAGGATTTGGACCCTTCTGCGTTGGGTTGTCGCGTTGTCCTGCCAGGAGGACACTGATGGCAGCCTTGGTAGAGAGATGGTGGGACACCACCAACTCCTTTCATTTCTCGGCCACTGGGGATATGACCATGACGCCCCTAGACTTTGCTGTGCTGACCGGCTTAGACATCGGAGGTTGGTCCATCCCCTATGATGAGGACATGGGCGAGTGGGAGGCCGCCTGGACATATCTATTGGGGGCTCGCCCGCCCGTTGACAGGGTTTCTGGGAGAGTCCGATACACTTGGTTCTCTTCCCACTTCCGGCGGGCGGAGATGGTGCCTGAGAGTCCCGAGGAGACGGAGCAGTACGCCCGTGGTTTCCTTATGTTCCTCTTCGGGAATACCCTGTTCGCCGACAGAGGGAACACCGTCGGGCTATATCTGCTGAGCACTCTAGTCTACCTATCACAGGTCAGTAGATATGACTGGGGTGGCGCCGGCCTGGCTACCCTTTACTTTTATATGAGCGCGACCTCCCGCGGGCGGGGTGATTTGCTTGGCAGCTACTGGAGAGCCTGGGAGGTACTTTTCTGTCCCCTTGATTTACATTTCTGCTTCTCATTACTTGTACATTGCACACACGGCACACTTTTTACAGTCTGTATTTTGCTCTCAGCATTTCGTACTTACATTCTGCACTGCTTTTCTCAGCTATGGGTCTATTGGAAGTATAGTGGTCCTAAATGTTGGAAAATTTTAAAAGTGGTGAATTGGAATAGACTCCATTTGAATGAAAGGGTGCAGCCCTTTCATGATGTCTCTTTATTTTAAAGGGTGTGACCTAAGGGTCATCTTCTTCTGCATGCCTTTTTTATTCAAACCGAATAGGTGCCAACAAAGCCTATATAAAGGCTGCCTCCATTCCATGTTTACTCATTCTAAAAATTAATTTACCTAGATTATTTAGCTAAATTTAAAATTGATTCAAATCATAAATGTAAAGTGTGTGTTGAGGCAAAATTAACTAAAGCACCATTTCAATCAATTGAAAGAAAAACTGAGCCACTGGACTTAGTCCATAGTGATATTTGTGATTTGAAATTTGTTCAAACTCGGGGTGACAAAAAATATTTCATTACTTTTATTGACGATAGCACTAGATATTGTTGTGCACTTGCTACGAAGTAAGGATGAAGTCTTGGAAAAATTCATCAAAAATAAGAATGAGGTTGAATTACAATAAGGCAGAAAAATTAAGGTGTTAAGAAGTGATAGAGGTGGTGAATATGATACCCCTTTTTGGTGACTTATGTTCACAACTTGGAATTGTACATCAAACTACTGCGCCTTATACACCTCAGCAAAATGGAGTTGCTGAGAGGAAAAAGCAAACTTTAAAAGAAATGATGAATGTTATGTTAATAAGTTCGGGACTGCCTTAGAACTTGTAGGGGGAAGCTATTCTTTCTGCCAATTATATTTTGAATAAAATACCTCACAAGAAAACCTTTCAAACACCTTATGAATTATGGAAAGGCTGAAAGCCTTATTTTAAATGTGTGGGGGTGTTTGACTAAGATAGCATTACTAGACCATAAAAAGGTCAAGATTGGTCCTAAAACAATTGATTGTATATTCAATGGGTATGAAAACAATACTAGTGCCTATCGATTTTTAGTACATAAAAGTGACAAATTAGAAATCCATGTTAATACAATCATTGAGTCAAGGAATGTTTCATTTTTTGAAAATATTTTTCCTTGCAATTCCACTCAAGATATTAGTGTTTCTAAACAGACTCATGATATTACTTTTAACAATAATCAAGAATTGGTTGAAGAAAACCAAGAAGGAGAGTTCGAAGAACAACCTAGATGAAGTAAAAGGGCTAGAGTTGAGAAAACTTTTGGTCCTGACTTCTTAACATTTCCACTTGAGAAAGAGCCTCGAACTTTCAAAGAAGCAATGTCAACTCCGGAAGCTCTTTTATGGAAAGAAGCTATTAACAGTGAAATTGAATCCATTCGACAAAATCATACTTGGGAATTGTCGGATCTTCCACCAGGTTGTAAACCTCTTGGATATAAATGGATATTCAAAAGGAAAATGAAATTGGATAGATCAATTGACAAATACAAAATAAGAATTGTGGTCAAGGGTTATAGGCAAACTAAATAAGTGGATTACTTCGATATCTATTCACCTGTAACAAGGATCACATCTATTAGAATGTTAATTGCAATTGTTGCTTTAAATAATCTAGAGATCATCAAATGGATGTAAAGACTGCATTTTTGAATGGTGATCTGAATGAAAAAATTTACATGGAACAACCAGGAGGTTTTGTCATTCCAAGCAAAGAGAAGAAAGTGTGCAAATTAGTAAAATCATTGTATGGCTTGAAACAAACACCAAAACAGTGGCATGAAAAATTTGACAACGTGATGATGATAAATGAATTTAAAATAAATGAGTGTGACAAATGTGTTATGTCAAAAATACTGAGAAATATTATGTCATTGTTTGCCTATATGTAGATGATATGCTAATTCTTGGTAACAATAGTGAAATGATCAATTCAACTAAGAAAATGTTGAAAACTAAGTTTCACATGAAATATATGGGAGTGGCAGATGTGATTTTAGGAATGAAAATTACTAAAACATTTGAAAGATATGTTTTGTCTCAAACTCATTATGTTAACAAAATTCTTGAGAAATTCAATAAGCATGATGATCGCCATGTAAAGACACATGTCGATGCTAACCTTCATTTAATGAAAACTTAAGGTGAAAGCATATCACAATTGGAATACTCTCATATAATTAGAAGTCTAATGTATCTCATGAGTTGCCCTCGTCCAAATATAGCGTATGCAATAAGTAAATTGAGTAGATACACTAGTAACCCAGGAAAAGACCATTGGACAACAATTGTTAGGGTTCTTAGATACCTAAAATACACCCATGACTATGGACTGTATTATACTAGATATCCAGCAGTCCTAGAAGTGTATTGCGACGCTAATTGGATATATGACACTAAGGATTCTAAATCCACTAGTAGATATGTCTTTACCTTGGGAGGTGGAGCGGTCTCTTGAAAATCTTCTAAATAGACTTGTATAGGTCGATCCACAATGGAATCTAAATTTATTGCTTTAGACAAAGCAGAAGAAGAAGCAGAATGACTTCGTAATTTCTTAGAAGATAATCCAATATGGATGAAAGTTGTGCCAATGATTTGTATTCATTGCGATAGTCAAACCGCAATGGCTAGGGCACAGAATCATATATATAATGGGAAGTCTCATCACATTCGTCGTAGACATAACACTGTTAGGCAACTGTTCTCTAATGGAATAATTTCCATTGAGTTTATAAAGTCAAAAGAAAACATTAGCGAATCCGTTGACAAAGGCTTTGACTAGAGAGCAAGTGTTGCGATCATCGAGGGGAATGGGATTAAAGCCTGTCACTTAAGAGTTATCTTAATGGAAACCCAACCTAATTGATTGGAGATCCCAAAATCTAAGTTTAAAGGAACAACTGAATTAAGAATAACTCATTAGTACCACTAAGGATTAAAACTTTTACACATTTCTATGATGAAATAGCGATTACCAGTAACAATAAATAAGTTAAGCTTTGCTTGTAATGAGACTCATAGCTTGGAAATTCAAGTGGGTTATAGCATGATGCTTTTAATGAGAATCACCTATATGAATGTGAACTGGGTCGGTCTATGAAAATTGAAAAGGCTAAATTCTCTAGAGCACTCATGAATCTAGGAATTGTCCAGAGCCAAAATAGACACAACCGATAGAATCAAGTTGCGTATGAAAATAAAACTGTGTGATAGGCTATTGTCTCGATTTACACCAACGGCAGAGCAATTCAATACATCATGTTCACTAATCAGCCAGTAAATCTGATAGTCTTTTATAAAAGAAGGTTCAAGGTCAAAAGCTACCTATCCTATGCAGGATATTTCCAGATTTGTATTCACATAGTTTGCATGTTGTTGCATTTCTTGTTACGTCAATTTCATTCATGTGGGGAATTGTTGAAAAATTTATAAAGGCAACGTTGTATTGAAATAAACTCCATTTTAATGAAAGGGTGCAACCCTTCCTTTAAATAAAAGGATGCAATCCTTTCATGGTGTCTTTTTATTTTAAAGAAGGGTCATGTCACTTTTTCATGCCTTTTTTGTTCAAACTGAACAGGTACCAACAAGCCTATATAAAGGTAGCCCCCATTCCAATTTTTTTCATTCCAACTTCCTCAAGTTCAAGCATTCCTCTTGTATTCTTCATCTGCATGAGTCTGAATTTTTTGAGTGCAAAATATAATTTTGGTTCGCAGTACAATCAAAAAGTGTGCTCTCTTCGTTTGTGGTGATTGTTGTATCCTAGAGATAGTGCGTCCATTATTCTCAAGCACCATTGAAGAAGATGAAATTATGTCTTAAAGACACAGTGTTCATACACTAGTCTCAATCACAAATTTGTTCATAAACTATCTATAGAATTACTATAAGGTTTAATTTTGTTGTTTACTTTATTTTTTTTATTTGCTTTAATTGATTATTATCGAAATTATCTCCCACACATCTTTCCCATCTCCATTTCTCGAGTGGTTTGTTGGCCTCCGCTGCTCGAACTAGATGGATACAATCCATATTCGTTAGTTAGTGCACTGTTCTCGTTGCTTCCATCCTCTCTGGTTCCCAAAACCATCTTCCTAAATTTTTTCATGTCCTCATTGTATTGGCTAGTGTCATAGTCTGAGATGCCACGAGAACTGTAGACTGTGTTGTGTCCGGGTTTGATTCCTTCGTTAAGATCAGACAAAGATACGCCTCCTTCGAAGGCCCGCACTACCTGCACAATTTGAGTTATGCTTATCGGTTAGGAGTTAGCTTACATATAGCACATCTAAGTTAAGAAGCAAGAATCTTGTAAGCTACGGCCATTCTGACACATCAACATAAAAAAAATATAGGACATGACATATGGTGGACATGCACAAAATATATAATTTTATATATTTATTATATATCACATATATGAATATTTCATTCCAAAATAATAAAAAATACAACATAATATTAATTTCTTAATTTAAAAGGAGCAGGGACTAATACATATAAATTTATATTGTTTTTCTTATGTCATTGTCTCCTTTAAGTTATTTTGTTCAAATATATGTTTCATCATGTGTGTCCGATGCATGTCAGGAAGTGTCAAATGAGCATCAGCGTCGGACAAGAACACGTAACTTAGAAGTGTTCGTGCTTCTTAGGTAACACGACATGGGGCTCAAGTGTTATGGTGCAAGATACACCAACCTTGGGCAGCAGAATCAAATTATTCGAAATTTGTAGATCAGATCATTCATAGCTTTGTGTCTTAAAGGTCTCAACCAAGACAATGCATTAAATTCCAGGCCTGACTTCCACTTGCAAGTGACGTAAGTCGTATGGAATGGTAAAATCTATAATTGAAGAACCATTCCACAATATCGAAATGCCATAATGGATTCATAATTTGTTGGCTCCATTAGGATCAACCAATTTGCATAAGATACAGGAATTTTTTAGTTTTACTATATTGCAACTAGTAAAATGTTTGGGACCCCCACAAAGGAGGACCCCCACGACCCCCACTGATGTATTGACCATTGATGTATTTGAATTTTTTTTTCCTAACTCTGACAGTGACATGAATGGTCCAGATCATTTTTGGGGCTGTGTTTTGTGGGGGTTTCTATCATGACTGTTGCAAAATAAACCCCAAATCTTACTTGGCTCATTTGTGGTCGACACCGTGCTGAATGACGCACACAAGCAGCAGCACAAGCAACCATACGAGCCATCTCGTTGGGTCTGTAATCCCTTTGCAACTGTGGATCAACAAGCGTATCAAAGTTTCCATCTTCCAAAGCTTGTGTGAGCAAGGGCCGCGCCTACAACAAAGATAATTTTGTTAGACTTAGAAAAAAAAACCAAAAAATGTGAAAAGTAAATCAAACAAAATAAAAGCCTTTTATCAGAGTGGAAAGAGATTTAGTGGTTTTGATGTAATTGCTCACCCAGTCTACCAAGCTATCATCTGCGTAAGATTGAGATGAGTTAACAGGTCGGCGTCCAGTAATTAACTCTAGAAGCACGACTCCGAATGAGAAAACATCAGACTTGTGTGTAAGTTTCCCAGAAGAAGCATATTCCGGAGCCAAGTATCTAGAAGTGGTGAGCTTATTATTAGAATGTGAATGATATTTTAATAAGAACTAGTGTGGAAAACATTGTAATACCTTTGCCATTATCAAAATGGAATGTGAAATTGAATCTTGGAAATGAAAACAAAGCATCCATAATGAGATAACAATAACTGAATCAATTATTGACAGAAACAACTGAAAAGCTCCCATCACCCATGTTAATGTATATATGGTACATATTCCTACGTATATTAGGTATTGATTTCCTAGATATATTAGGTATTGTCATAGTTAGGTTTCTTGTAGGATACTTTTTCTCATAGTTAGATTTCTAATAGGATATTTTTTCTCTGCCTATATATACAGGACTTCTATTGTATAGGACAATATTATTCAATACAATTCATTCATTCAATACAATACATATTATTTCCTCTCTCTGTCTACTATTCTAACATGGTATTAGAGTTAGGTTAAGAACTTAGTAATTTTGCTTCACTGGCAGACGGCAGCCTCGCTTTGGCCGCCTGCCGGACCTCAACCTATTCCGTTGTCATGTTTTTCTTTCAGTATCGCTTCGTAGTGATCTCTTCCTTTATTCGCTGGTTTATTCCTACCCCAAATATCTCAAATTGGTTTCTATCTTCAAACCTATTTGAGTTTGAAGGGGGGTGTTATACCTATATCATGGTGAACATGATTATACACCATGCAAACCACCCAGCTACCTCCTTCGGTATGACCTCTTTAAACTGTCTTGGCATTAGTTCCAACCAGTTCCTACAATGGTCTAACACAACCATAAACTGTCTCTGGGCATTAGTTCTAGCCAATTTCTATATCGGTCTGGCACGACTTTAAATCGCCTTGGCATTAGTTTCAGCCAATTCCTACAATGGTCCAACACGACCACAAACTATCTCTCGGCTTTAGTTCCAGCCTCTGATCTATTTCAATCGCCCTTGCGCTTCCGTTCAGATTTTGCAATCTATTTGCCGTTTATTTTATTTAGTTTTATTTTATGTTTTAGTTTCTTTCTCCAAACTCAAGATATTTATCCTCCTTGAGTTTGAGAGGGGAAGTTAATGTATATATGGTATATATTCCTACATATATTAGATATTGATTTCCTAGATATATTAGGTATTGTCATAATTAAGTCTCTTATAAGATACTCTTTCTCATAGTTAGATTTCTAGTAGAATACTTTCTTTCAGCCTATATATACCGGCCTTCTATTGTATAGAACAATTCATTCAATACAATACATATTATTTTCTCTCTCTCTCTCTCTCTCTCTCTCTCTCTCTCTCTCTACTATTCTAACACT